GAGGGAGAAGAGGACAACAAACGAGGGCCTGTGACAAACTGTTTCGTCGGAGTTTCACCGACTCATATATATATATATATATATATATATATATATATATATATATATATATATATATATTAAATAATTAAAAAAAATCTATCATTCAATCAATCATTTAATCAATCCAATGAATCCGGTTTATCGTGCGGGGTTTTTGACATGTCATCAAGTTGGTCACTCAGTCGCTGTATTGGATCTGAGTCAGGCGGTCTGCCCGAAGGTCAATCTGTCATGAAGTTGGTGAGTCTGTCTCTAAATCAGTCTGTTTTCCAGCGCATCCGTGACTATTCAAGTCACTGAGTCCGTAAGCCGATGACTATTTGCTGATCACAGGACTGAACGTTGTTCTTTTGTGATTTGGCAGTTCATCCGTTTCGAGATTGTGTTGCCGGCATTGCACTGTCCAGCGCGCACTACACGTACGGCGCGGGAGAGGGCCGACCATCTGTCATGGATGATGCACCTGGCAGTTGCACGCCTGATGACGGCAGGTCAGCAGAACAGCCACCAAATTGGACCGTGCATGGCAACGCCACGCCGGTGTCACCGCATGCCGGACAACGCGGTTTGCTGGGAGTATCCCCTTACTGCAGCCCGAATGACATGCGATCAACAAAGAGGCCTCGTGTTCAGTCTCATTCGCCTGCGGACGTCGTCACTCCCGGCGTTGCAGTTGTGCATTCTCCGTTGCCGCCCTTGTTGCCGTCTCCAGCGCACCGTCCATACACTCCGATACACCCTTTGTCGGATTTTGATGCGTTGTGTTTTTCTATGCGGTCACCACCATTGCAACCTCGCCGTTTGCAGTTTCTGTCGTGTGCAGCGCAGCCATTTCCTCCTCCTCCACTTGTCGTTGGACGCGACGGGTTGGACTCCATCCCCCTCGAGGGGTGTTCTCAATCATCAGCAGCGGTGTTTGGAAGTGGAGGGTCCACACTGCGTGACAGAGGTCGTCGGAGTGCAGAACCGTGGGTCCCACATTCGTTCGCCGCATCAGGTCATGGGCAGGGGGGTGTATTGGATGACGTACGTCGTGCCTGTGCCGGGGACACACATGACCGTAGTTCCGGTCGTCGCTCTCTCGTCTCCCGGTTCGACGGGGATGACATCGTGTGTGGTAGCGGAGATAGGGCCAGACGTTGCGATCCTGCCGCTCAAAATCTTGTTGCGGGCCCTTCTGAGCAGTCAGGTGGGTCCTTAGGGCAATTCGGTTCGAAGTCAACTGGTTCCACGAAGTACTCTCGTTTGTTCCTGACTTCCGCTTGCAAGGAGAGACTGTGCCTTTTACAATCTACGATGAAAGAAGTGAGCGAAAAGTCTGGGGTCATGAGCGATGTCATCGACCGACTGTTGCATTGGTCATTGCCAGCCATCCGGTTAGAGTTCGGGGACGGTGTGGCGTCGAGGATCAAGAGAACACTGACAATCGTGCTGAGGTGTTCCGTCTCGGAGCAGGAGGGGATGATTCGACAGCGGATGCTGAGGATGATGGCGAGTGTGAGGGCGCAGGGAGCGGTGGAGGCAATGGCGGGTCATTTTGTGGGTCAGATGATTCACTTCCGCGTTCTGGCCATGGGTCACAGCGTGGCTACAGATCGCCCGGGCGGCCACCGAGCCGTGGCAGGTCGCGTTCGCATTTCGATCATGTACGACCTTTGTGTTGGGATTATTCGAAGGATGGTGCTCTGCAGAGCGGACCTTGCCATGATCGGTCTGCACATGTGTTGGAATCGATGGGCCACTGGGAAGGTTCGAAAGCGCCTGATGTCGTGTTCGTGGAGCCGGTGAAGTTGCTGTAGTTGCTCGGGTTGTTCGATTTGAGTTACCCGTGCCACGGGGCAGGTTGTCGTGTGGATGTGTGCTCTGTCGGTTATCCTGAGCAGATTTGTCGCATTTCGCTCGCTTGTAAGAAGTCCTGTCATTGGACATGGCACAATGCACTGGTTGCGGGAGTTGTGTACTCTTGCAGACTTCAGCAGCAGTTGTTCCATGCGACCGTCACTGCGGGTATGACATATACCGTCCTCAACGACTTCTGCATTGCGCTTGGGGTGACCCTGTGCACAAACCCACTGTTTACAGTTGCATGCGCAGTGAGCCGAATGTGCGTGAGGGTTGGAATGCAAAGGCTGTCAGGCAGGGCCTGCGGTATTGCGACTTGGCCATTGACACGGTTATGCGATCAGGGAGACCCGTCACTTTGATGGTTGACGGTCGCTACGACTCCGCCAGGTCTGCGCAACATTGCACTGTTACAGCGACTGAGTGTGATACTCGTCTTGTGGTGGGTGTTCATACTCTTCGCCCAAAGAAGCAGGGAAAGTCATCGAACCAACTTGAGGTTCCTGCAGTTGTGCGCCTGTTGAGAGGCTTGTTGTCGAGGGGGTTGCGGATCCGGTGTGTTGTCTCCGACGATTGTGCTGCATTGGGTCCGCAGTTGGAGCGCCTGGGTATTGAATGGCAGAAGGATTGCCATCATAAGGTGAAAAACATTCGCAAGGCACTGAGAAAAACCATGACACTGAAGGTGCCAAAGAAATTGAACAACCCTCAACAGTGCGTATCGGAATCTCAGTTTATGCAGTTCACGAAGAAGGAGTTGTTGGATGCCTTGACGGACCGTTATGGACCTGGGTGTTTGACGACAAAAGAAGAACGATTGAAGAAGAGCGGCTTCGTCGTTGTTGTGATGAGCAAAATGTACCGGTACGACACTATGACAAACAACCAATCCTTGCTCGTGGATGCAGATGGTGTGACCGAGTTCCATATGCATGAGGTGGGGCATTGGTTTCTGCGTGCTTCCCAGCTTTGCAGAGATGAGGGCGACGACTTTGTCACACTGCACAATGATATCATGATGATCGTCGACCATTGGGCAGGGGACCACTCCAGGTGCGTTGCGGACAAAGAGCTTCTATGCTCCAAGGCGGGTGGCCCATCTCGGCTGCCTCTGTACACCCGCGACGACCCCGTGTATGACATCATTCGCCAGACGTTGGGCAGGCATTGCAGCACGACCATTTGTTCGTACTACACGGAGTTCCGTCACACGTCGACGCTTGAGACCTTCCAGGGTACAATCATCATTTACAAGAAGAAGGCCTTGCACTTCGGGAAGTCGTATGAGCCGCGTTTGGCGATTGCAGTCATTCGATGGAACAGTCATGCATGGCAGGATCCCTTGGAGTATCGTGTCCTCAGGCCTTCTGGGACTTCGATTCGTCCAAGGCCGAGCCACTACCATCACAATCGGCCACCTACCGATTCGTGGATGGATCGGCTATCCACGTTCATCTTCGGTTCGCAAGGCGTTTCTGGTTGGGCTCGACGCCTTCTCGAGTACGACGATTGTGATGTCGGGCGAGGTCTGGTCCTCGACACCTTCTCTTCCTCGCGATATTTTTTGCAGAGGCGAGGAGACCATTGGCCGTGACGAGGACGACGTTGATTCTGGTGCGGATCCCGACGTTGTGGGGGATGACGATGTGTTCATCATTGGCGACGGGGATCGGTTGCCTGGACCGACAAATGTCGTGTCCGATCGATCGTGCGATTCTCTATCGGACGCAGATGATGTCGAGTTGTTCGACGAATGATATTGTGTTATGTCGTAGTCTCTTGTACATGCGACTTTTATATTTGTTGGTTTTTGGTTGGACGTGTTGATGGTCGCTATATATATACTGTTGGGTCTGTACTTGCTCAGTCCGACTGGTGAGACTGATGGCGAGGCTGTATACTACCCCTGTGGGTTAGATTTGTAATTTTGTTCGACTGAGGGCTAACCGTGAGACCCACCTGTGAGGAAAATTCGTGAGGGCCATATCTGTAAATATAGGAAATATAGGCCCAGCCTAGGCTACCAGAGTGGCCCGGGGTTACTTGAACGGCCGGGCCAAAAAAAAACAGAAAAAATAAACATAAAAATATTATTTTTAATTTTTATTTTTTATTCTAAATTTGGTGCAGAATTTCGATGTGACCCTGAGGCAAAAGTTGTTCAGTTTATTTTTCTGCATAACATAGTTTTGTTTTCGAATTTTTTGGATTTTTTTTTAACTTTCTTTTTTTTGCTAGGACCTTCCCTGGTCCTTGCACGGGCTGGCCACCCGGGACCCGGGCGGCCCGGCTGGTAGCCTAGGGCCCAACAGTATTTCGAATTTCCTATACCTACCCTTACTGCGAATAGCAGGCCCGGACTACCCCCAGGACAGACACGCCCTAATGGCCTAAGCTGATACACGGTTCTATAGCCTATAGTCGGGTCCGGTAGAGGCCGAGAGGCCGAAACTACAACGGTATTGGTCGGTTAGTCAATCCGGTCTAGGTGTAGGTTAGAGTACTGTACTCTATTGGTAGAATGAGGGAAATCAATTGGGGACTTTTAGCAGATCCTTTTTGTGATACAGCGTTGGGAGCCAGGGGCGTTTTGGAGCGGTGTCTTTAAGCAGGCGGCGCCCTGAGACTTCGCCGTTGACAGCAGTCATAGCAGCCATACGAGGTCTGCCATAGCTACCCGTCCTCTTCCACAAGCGCTTACCCATGAGGGTATATGCGACTGGTGGGGCTACAACGATGTTGCACACTGTGTGTTCGTGGGTATTGGCATCTACAGGTGCCTGTTTCTTCGTCGGAGTTGTCCATCGACACGGAAGACTTCATCGCAGTACCTGTTATTCATCACGGTGTTTGGCGCTGACATGTGGGAGGTCATTCTGATGTGGCGCTACTAAGTGGGTGTACGATAGAAAGCGTGCTGCGAGTTATGAAAGTGGCGAGATACTGGAACAAACTCTGTTATTGTATTCGTTCGAGTTGGCTCATCATCAGCATCATTTCAATTGTGATCTTGCTGAGATCCTTTCTTGTGATTGTTTGTTGGGAGTCTGTCGGAGAGTGAGAGTCATCGTGTAACCTCCCCCGCCTGTGCATGGGTCAATTCCGCTGCTTATCCTTGTTTTTTTGCAGTTTGGACTCTGTCCCCCCCCCCCCCTTCTTCTTATGCATGTGTGTGGTGTATGAGATTTTATGTGTGTGAGTACCGGTAAAAAACGTCAGACAACCAAGATATATATATATATATATATATATATATATGAGTCGGTGAAACTCCGACGAAACAGTTTGTCACAGCCCCTCGTTTGTTGTCCTCTTCTCCCTCTCTGCCTACGGTTTACCGGGCAGTTCTATTTGACGATATATATGTATATGTATATGTGTTACGCAATCATTTGCAAGCTTGAAAAGCTATTTCTGAAGTTATCCTTGAAATTATTGGAAAATTGGGCCCGTTACAAAAGTTGGAAGCCACCGTATGGGGATGCCCTCATATGGCGAAGTTGCGGCAGGGATCTGCGGCGGATCCATTCTCTGGTTTTAACAATGAAGGGTTACTCTATTCTTTAATAAGGATGTCAGAATCCCTGCACTGATGGTTATGGGACGTGGAGTGTCTTTGAAACTCAAGATGAAAGATCTCCCTGTTTAAAGATGGGAATATTTTTTTGGGCCCGTCACTAATATTGCAGGCCTCCATACGGGTGCTATCCTTGTATGGCTATACCCCACCTAATGGGGTACCCCCCCCAAAAAAATATCTCTTCGGCCGCAATAGTTCCCGCCGGTTTGTGCGGGAAAAGGTTTGATTACGATATTTAATGGTCCTTGCTACAGTAATCATTCCCTCTTCAAACCGACGCATTCAGAGCGATCGCTTGGAGTGCTATTCGGTACACTGTTCTCCCTCGGCGCGGATGCCCTTGCCGTCGAAAGGCCTACTGGTGTTACTGCTCGCATTGAAGGACGGTCCTCCTTTCCTCGTCCATCTCTCCATCTCTCTCTCTCTTCCCCCCTTTTCTTCTCTTTTCCTCGTCTCCCTCATTTTTTTCTCCCCCCAGTTATTATCTCTCACCCTTGCCTTTTTGATTGGGTGCAAACGCGTGAGGTTGAGTTGTGCTCGTTTCGAAAGTGCGTGGAAACCATGAGTAGCGTGCCCTCGTGTTCGGCTTCATGTGCGGCGGTAATGCTTTCTCCTCCATGTACCCACCACCCACCCCCCACACAACCCACCCTTTCGTCTCTTGTCAAAATAAGCTCAAAAGTGAGCTCAGTCCCCTTCGGTGCGCGTACTTAGGATTGCTTTTAACCCCTGATGAGCCAATCTTATGTGGGGGTTGGCGAAAAGGCCTTTGGGATTACCCACAAAAATCCTTTTGTCACGCCAACATGAATGGGTTCGCATGAACGGATTGGGACTTTCTGCTAATCTCTACCCTCATGCTCACCCCTTATGATATAGATTCATGATACTACTTAACTGCCCCCTTGCTGTAATTTTTTTTTTTTTTTAATATGTTGTCAATGGTATGTGTGCTAGGAACTTGTTGCTGAATATTCACTCGCGTGAGGAGGGTATGGAGGCAGCCATCTTTGTCCTAGGGATCGTCGTCGTCTGCTCCATCCTATTCGGCTACCTTGCTTTCATCGCGTATTTGGAGAGCGAGTGCGTCAAAGCATTTTGCGTGCAGCTGTCGCTACAAACAAATCGATCGCTTGAGTCTACGGGTAGACCTAGGTGTATTGTCGGGAAGTGATCTTGAGGATGGGCCGTGATATGCCGCAGCAGATGCCCTGGGCAGTTCTCTTCCTTTTCATGATGTTTCCGATCGTTGTTGTTTTGGTGGATTTTGGTGGGAACATGTGGAGCTTGAAAGATGGGGTGTGTATCGGGGGAGCGGAGGCACATGGCCACGTGGGCAGGAATGATTTGTTGCTCGCCCTTATGTGGATGTATTGGTCTTTCTTATCTGTGCTGATTATCTTTCTCTACTATGGGCGATCCTGTCGGTACAACTGCCCGTGTTATTGCTGCTTTGTTCGCTATGGTGGAGAGATGTAGTAAGCCGCGTCTTGCTCGTTCTTGCTATATAGGTGCCCATAAGATACTAAAGAACAAGGGTTTGATGGTGAGGAAGAGGTTTGGTTACATACCTATTGTGGTGAAGGTGATTACACGTGAAGCTCGGAGGAGGTGGTGTGGGAATGGAGGGGCATGGGCATGTGGGTGGGAATGAATCAGATCTGTTACTCGCCATTTTGTGGATATATTGATCTGATTGCTTTTTCTATGGGCGATCCTGTCGGAGCAACTGCCTGTGTTATTGCTGTTGCGTTCGCTTTGGAGGAGAGGCGTGGCAGGCCGCGTCTTGGTCGTTCTCGCTCCCATAAAATGCTATCGAGGAAGGGGTGGATAGGGAGTTAGAGGTTTGGTTACATGCCTGTTGAGGTGATGGTGGTAACGTGTAAGGGTCGAAAGATGCGGTGTGTTAGGAGTGGAGTGGAGGGGCATAGGCACGTGGATAAGAATGATTCGTTACTCGCCCGTATGTAGATGTATTCAGCTGTTTGTCTTTCTACGGGTGACCCTGTCGATTCATCTGCCCTTGTTAGGGTGACCTAGTGGGCCACATCCCTGTCGTTCTTGTTCTATAGGCTCCCAGGTTATGCTAATGAGGAGGGGTTAGAGGAAGAGGTAGAGGTTTGATTACATACCTACTGTGGTGATGACGATAAGACAATGATTCTGAAGGATTGGAGGAGGCTGTTGCTGCGCTTTATGATGCTGAAGGCATTGGAGTAATTCATTCTTATGGAAGCTGGTCTATTGGAGGGACCTTGAAACTCTTTGAAAACTAATCACATAGATGCAGCATATTGGAATGTTCTAGTCGAGTATTCTATTTTGCATCTTATGCTTTCGCAGCTTTTTCATCCTCTCCTCCCTCCTTCTTTCCTTGATGTGATTGCGCTTTGCTTTAATGTACGACATAGGAGGCCACTTGTTACTAAATGGGTCATCTGTATGAGGGTCATGAGTTATAAAGACTGATGAAATCCAGGATCTAAAGGTGCATACGAATAAGATTGATAATTTTTCAGCACATTAGGTTATGGCTTTGAATATATTTTCTCGATTCTTGCAAAATCCTGATGAATGCTACAGGTATTGAAGTAAGTAAACGATTGTGGATGCATGATGGGCTTCTATTTTTTATGGGTTTTTTATTTCTCTAAGCTCCTGATAACGTTATCTGATCCCCATTCGTTTTTTTCCCTCTCGATCCTTTCTCACTCTCTTCCCCCCTCCCCTTCTCTTTTCGTGTTCTGTTTTTGCTTCTGAAGTCTCAATCCTAGATCCTTTTTGCATGATGATGGAGAATCCCTGACCTGTTGAAGCTCGTGGTATAAGGATGCTTGATGAGCTAAAATTGTGTTTAATCGAACAATGATTTCTCCTTATGAAATACATTAAGAAAAACTATTAGAAGTACATTGTTGCTTCGTGGGATAGTTCTTGGAGCTGAGCCTTGCATCCCGCCGCGTCGAATGACATGGGGGCTTAGTAACAAATCTTACACACACACACACACACACCCACACATACCCACACACACACATACACACATTTACTC